TGAGGAGAATTAAAATCTTAAAGATATCATAGGTGATGGATACAGGTATACCAGATACTCAAACCTTATTTTAAAAGAGAGCGAGACTCCAGGAACTTAGGTGTTTCTAGAGCCCAGAAGATTCTCTTAGATGAGTTGTGACTGGGAGTCCAAATTACACCCTGGGTTACTGTTGATGGGTTCTAAGTTATTGCTGTCACCAATTTTCACCAGGGCTTCCTACATTATTTTTCAGCATTTATTCAGCTTTTGTTACCACAAAAATAAAAGGATAAACCAGAGCTGGACTCACAACAGGATCATAGTGGGAGAACCAGGAATCCTAGACTAGTATAACAAGTATGGCAGTTCAGCATAGAGCTGAGCAGGAAATTGAGGGGGAAAGGCTTCAGGGCTGCACAACCACCAGTCTACAGATCCTAGGCTAGAGAAACACTGTCTTATCAGGAACACTATCTTTCTGGAGACAATGACTCAGTGCTTTACCCTGTTGTGTCATCAAATACTTATCAAAACAAGACCCAGACAAACGTTTATGTTAGTTTCCAGCTTCTATGAAACAAGTTCACATACACTTCAAATTCTCTGTATTAAGACTGCTCTAAAAAGGCGCTCTGGTAGCGTAGTGGTTACGAATCGGGCGGCAAGCCTCAATGTCAGCAGTTCGAAACTACCAGTGGTTCTGTGGGAGAAAGGTGAGGCGGTCTGCTCCCGTAAAGATTTACAGCCTCGAAAACCCTGTGTAGGGTCGCTATGAGTCGGAACCGACTCCACGGCACATAACAACAACAACAACAATTCATCTCAGGAGTCCTGGTGTGGCGCTGTGGGTTAATGTGATGGACTGCAAAGTTGGTTTTAACTACAAGGTAGTCAGTTTGAACCACACCAGCTGCTCCTCGGAAACTGTATACAGTGTCCCTATGGGTCGGAACTAGCTCAATGACACTTAACAACAACAATTCATCTCTAATATGATATGTGGCCTTATAGGAAAAATATGAATGTTCTTTAGACCTGAATCAGACATGATGTTGTAGGAATACTAGGTTACCACTGCATTCCTTCATTCATTAACTCAATCTTTCTCAAATTACATCTTAAAACGCCACAGATCAGCCAGTAGAAATAAACTCTTAACTTGTTGTGGTTAAGTACCATGTCAAGTCAGTTCTGACTCATAACCACCCTGCGTAGGGTTTCAGAGGAGCAGCTGGTGAGCTTAAACCACAGGCCTTGCAGTTCGAACCAACCTTGCCATCCAGAGCATTAACCCATAGCACCATACCAGGATACCTAACTAGTCAAAGAAAATTCCTCATGGCATGGCACCTAAAATCAGTGAAAGGGCAAGGAATGCCCAATGCATCTGAAAGTATCACACTCAGCAATTTACAACCTCCTTGTGAAGTTTGTCACAAAGCACAAGATCATCAGATGACCAGGTTTGTTTGTTTTTTCTCTACCCACTTTATTCAACCTGAGTAACATCTACGTTTTCTAATGTGTAAGCGCCATCAAGCTTTCACACAGTATTTTTACATATAGAACACAATGAAAAATTTCTTATCCCTACAACTTCATTTAGTGATCTTTTAATAGCCTTTCCTAGAATCTTCAGAATTCTTTGGTCTGTTGCCTTTTCATCTCTCTAGACCTGTGACTATTTTTGTATTTCCTAGTCAGTAATGCTAACAATAACAAATATAGATCACTGGCCAAATCGTGGCCAGCTTATCTCTGAAACAATCCGTTAAGGGAAAACACACCCTGGTTTCAGTATGTACTTCTTCTCTGGTTAAGCAACTACCACAACAATCTAAGTTTTTTTCCTCCTTATTTGCTGTTTCAGTAATAGAATAAATCAGTCTAAAATATAGATAACTCAGATGCCACACAGTAATTATTCTGCTCTTTCTACCCTAAATGTTAGTGATTCTAAAGCCAACAGAGATTTTCTTGTGAATCCGAATTTCAAGATATGAAACTGTAATGCGCAATTGACTCTGAAGTGCTCTGTTTCAGTTCCTCTTCAGTGTATTAGGTAGACTTAAACACAAGGTTGTGTCAAGTTTTCTCTTGCTATCAGGGAAACAGTGTTTCAGAGATAAGCTTGGCAAATACTCCAGATTCCTCTTATAAACAGCACTATGAACTATAGTTACCTAATTTGCTAGGAAAGTCTGAAAAATCAAAAGTCACCCACAGTTTTGCTATAGTTGATATTTTGAGAAAGAAAATTTAAATAATTATCTGCAGACTCTACCATACATTCTGCATAGTATTTCAAAGAGTTACTAAATGTGAACTGAGTTTCAACAAGGAATTTTTCACTCACAAGATAAGATGCCTCATCAAACTCTGGAAGTCTGTGATATAAATTGACCCCCTGTAACTGCCAATTAGGGGGAATGGAGGTGAAGATTCAGAATCTAGCTTCTATTCTGAAATGTTTCTTACCTCATGAACCAAAATGGGAAGGTTGAACTATTTCTTTTTGCACTGATCTGTATCTTCCACTGGGCGAAAAATTAGTCTGCCTGTTCCCATAAAAACGTGGCCTCAAAAACTCTATGAAGGGACACACAATGGCAGTAGGTTTGGGGTTGTGTGTGTGTGTTTTATACAATTGTAGCCATGCTTAGGTATCTAACATAACTCCACATACTTGTGGAATCTTTCTTCTGACCTTTTGAACAACTGGAAAGTTACTGTTTATCAGTGTGCTCAACTAAGAAGACCACCTAAAACTACTGACTAAATACTCAAGAGCAAAGAGAAAGTTGAAAATCATACCTAACTGACTGCCATGTGACTTAGACAAATAGATAACTTATGAGCATTTTGTGACCAGGTCCTTAAAGTGCAAGTTCCTGTCAATAATTCACTTCTACTCTTGAGATTGGCCCAACTCCAAAAGAAACCCACGGAAACCAAGCAAGACACTGTAAATAATATGTTTCAAGATGACAGGAAGGCGAAGTGAATGTGGATAGGTCTACCAACACAACTGATCCAACTCTAGAGAAGAATTCCAGTTAATTGACAAATAAATGTCATTACTGTATAACACTTAGCAAATAGCACACACAAAAGTGTTCTGTTTTAAAGTGGTGTTTAAATCAAAACAATTAAGGTCTGGCCAAAGAATAGAAAGCTCATTGAGAATGAGAAACAGTAGTCCCTATCAAAGAGTTCAAAGTTTTTGAAAAAAATTGCTGTGGCCCTGTGTGTGATTTTCTTATGTGGACACCTGCCCGCCCAACCCAAAAAGAACTACTGGGGGAATTTAGAATTCTACAGAATAATAAGAAGGTCCTATAATTGCATCTTAGAATCTTGTAGCAGAAAGGAATTTTTTAAATAATTAACATAATCTAAATCAACTATACAGTTTAACAGTTGAGAGTAAACTGAAAAGCTCGGTGCTCTGCCCAATAATTACAAAGCTCTTGGGCAGCAGAGCTGAGGATCAGAATTCAGGAGGCAGAGCTAGATAAACTCAGTGCCAGTCCTTGACTCTCTTTATCATCCAGCTGCCTGACCTTTCTTGATCAGAAACAGATAAAAATAAATATTATGAAAGCAAAATTCTTAACTGAGCACTCAAATGTATTTGTACCACGTTATCCATTACCTGCTCCTCTACAAATAGATCTCTTTAATTGAGTAAGACAGCATGTGATTCACCACCCACTAAAGGACTGCCCCACTTCCTTCTTCCTCTCCTGTCTATTGGGCTCTTCTACTGGAATATCTAAAGTCCTGGTGTGGCGCTGCAGGATAATGCACTGGACCACAAGGTCTATTTGAACCACAAGGTTGGCAGTTCAAATCCACCAGTCACTCCTCAGAAATCCTAGATAGGGTTGCTATGAGTCAGAACCGACTCGATAACACTTAACAATAATTCAAGAAAAACAGATTTTTATTATGAAAAAAAAACTATATCCTAATTATTTTTCACCAAATCAGTAAACATAGTCATGGGGTAAATAGTTTATGGGTCAATAGGACAGCATGTTAATTTGGAAAAAACTTCTGTAAGGAAAAAAAACCATATATGTGGTTATAAAAGTTTATTTTCGCACTGATAGTGAAAGCTTAACCTTTGACTTACTTTACTACATAAGATTTATGAACAAAATGTGATTTTCAAAAGATTCTCCCTTTAAATTGATATGTAAAATATACTCTTTACAAATACTGTTTCACTTAAAAGAACTACTACTGATAAAATTAATGACTTCTCCCAGAGTGAATGAAAATAAAATCTACCTAAAGGAATATGGTGGTGGTTGTGAGGGTTATGTGTGTGGAGTTGGTTCTGACGCATAGCGGTGACCCTGTAAATCTTCACAAGAGCACAAAGCCTCATCTTTCTCCTGAGGAGCAGCTGGTAGATTCAAATAGCTGGCCTTGCTTTTAGAAGCTCAGTTCATAATACAGTACGCTACCAGACCTCCTAAAGAAATATAGCAAGTATAATAGGTACAATGTTATGTTTTTTAGGCAAATTCCATTAGTACAATTTGTTAATCACAAGCCCACCCTTTCCAGGAAAATGTTTTCCAGAAGACTGGGCTCTCCCTCACAACTCTGCCTTCAATCACAAAATCACAACCACACACTAGTTACTCAGACCATGAAGCGGGGAGTCTCAATCCTATGCACTATCTACTGTTAACCCAGATGTGTAACTTTTTTTCCCATTTATGATCATTGTGAATAGTACCGTCCAAGCTCAGATACAGGATAGGAATCCCAGCCCACGTAATACAAAGGTCAAAATAAAGCAAATGGGTAGAAGAATCACAACAAACAGTCACACACCAAAAATGCCTGCACCTTTTCTATAAAGGAGAGGACTTATCTCTACACACCAAGCAATGATCCCATTTCTCCTGCTCTCAAAAAATAACTATCAATACAATTTCAGTCTACTCAGTGAATTAAATCAAAATTTCCCTTTGATTTTAAAGTAAATTAAAGTCTCAAACCTGTTATGTAGTTCCGTGGTACGATCAGTACCCTTTCCTACCCAGGCACATTTTCGAAGCTTTTTACACAAAAATGTCTTGTAAGTTCTCCCGGCGCCAGATACTGCATCATTCACACAGGGGGCTGAAGCTCGCGAGGCCCCTGGCCAGTTTGTGGTTTTCACTGTGCCGCCACACATCCTCTGAGCAGTTTCACCTTCTTCTGGTATCTTCTGACCATCAGCATGGACTTGGACACAATTTTTGAAGGTCCGTGGTCATTTAAGGGATATTCCGTAGTGACCAGCAGTCTTAAATGATCATTCACTCCCTATAATCCTAGGTGAGACAAGCAACTTGGCAGAAGCCTACTAATATCCTCTTTCAAAAGTTAGAGGAAAAAAAGGGAACATTCATTTGTTACGTAAACTAAGCCCACCAACAATTTAGGAAGTCAGATGCATCCATCTACATTATAAAATTTGCTATCAGCAGCCCCATAATATAGACCAGCACAAATCCTACTTCCTACTTTTGTTCCTAAGCCTGTACTCTGGGAAGACAAAACACTCAACAGGTTGAACAGCTTGGAATGACTCACCCCATCTGCGCTCCCTAGCAGGAGATTATGTAGTAGTCAGTCGGTCACAAGACCTATTCACATGGCTTTAGGCAAATGTAGTGACTTGCCTTCAGCTGCAAGGTTGTTCTGACATTGGCCACAACACCCTCTTAATGGCTCTCATGTGAACAAGTGTCAGCTGACCAGTCTTACTCTGCAACCTTGCAAAACTCTACTCATAGCAACTGAGAGATGGTTATCCAAAACAACCAAATGTAGGGTTCCATGTACAGCACAGGGGATTGGTTATACAGGGCAGGGGACATCTTTGTGTTTTCAAGAAAAAAAATTTATGGAAAAAAAAAATAACAATAATAAATGAAAACCCATAAACCCTCAAAACTCCTGCACTGGATTTCCAGATATATTCAAATTGAAAAAGCTCTAAACTACCAGAACATGGAAGACAAAAGCAATGCAATTTTGACTTTATCTGTAAAATAAGAATAAAGTTTTTAAAAATTCAATTTTCTCAAAGTATTGTGAGTTTATGGAGAGAGCATTTCTTTTTTCTTTTAAAAGAGTTAAAAAGCACAGGTCCCTGAAATACAAATAAAATATTATAAGAAACTGTAAGTGGATTGTCTCAATTTTTCCTTGTCCTAGAATTTAACAGCTGACCCTTAAAATATGATTGAGTCCTGGTGTGGCGCTGTAAGATAAGCACTGGACTGAGAAGTCGGTTTGAACCACAATGTCGTCGGCTCAAATTCACCAGACGCTCCTTGGAAACCCTATACAGGGTTGCTGAGTTGGAACCGACTCAACGGCAGTTAACAACAACAACAACAAAATATTATGAGCTCCTTGGTTCCACAAGATTTTAAATGTATCTCTATGTATGGCAGCCATAGTCCTCATTCTGTGGTGGGTTACACATTGGGCTGTTAGCCACAAAGTCAGCAGAAAGATGAAGCTTTCTGCTCTGGTAAAGATTTACAGCCTCGGAAACTCTATACAGGGTCACTAAGAGTCGGAACCAACTCCACAGCACACAACCACTACCACTACCACTACCACTACCATGTGTGCATGGCAGTCATATGTTTACTCCACAAGTGTGATCAAAACTAATGATGTTGTGGCAAAACCCTCACAATTACCTTAAGACATTATTATAGTGTATGACCCCTAAGATGAGGCTTTCTGCTCCCATAAAGATTTACAGCCTCGGAAACCCTGTACAGGGTGGCAATGAGTCAGAACCGACTCCACAGCACATAATCACCATATAACGACTACCACCTTAACCTCTAAAGTTCCTCCATGTTGGTGCGGCATGTCATCAAGCAGATTCTGACTCAGAAACATCATGTGACAGAGAACTCTCCCAAAGGGTTTCTTAGGATATATATATAATCTTTATGGGAGCAGATCACCATGTCTTTTCTGCCAAGGGCCAAGCGGTGGATTCAAATAGCTAACCTTTGCTTAGCAGCCAAGTACTTAATCACTGTGCCACCAGGATGCTTTTGCTCATAAACACAGATTGCTTGGCCTACCTCTAGGGTTACCAATTTAGTAGATCTGGGGTGGAAACTGAATATTTACATTATTACCAAGTTCCCAGGAAGCTATTGCTGCTCATCTGGGACCACATTTCAGGATCATTTCCTTAGAAAAAATTCATCATCTCCATAAAAATTTTCCAGATCACCTAGGCTGAAAGATATTTTTCCCCTCTATAAATTCTTAACCACAATTTTCACATTTAACACATAAGTGTTTTGCAACAGACTTATTAGTGAAATGTCTTATCATTCTAATTCGATCATAAGTTCTTTGAGTATAAGAACTGGGTTTTTATATTCACCTTTGTATCTTATACAGTCCTTATACATGGTAGATGCCCAACAGATACTTTTTGTTGGTTTAAAGACCCTATTTGTGTTAAAAGTATGATATGCATGACATCATCTATCCTGAGACCAGAGCACAATAGATAGATAATTATAAAAGATGAGCAAAATATGGAATAGAATTTAAATTCTTAAAAGGTCAAGATCTACTGAACCAGGTAAGACTGGAGGATTCCCCGAGACTATGACCCTGAGACACTCATTAAACCTTGAACCAACACTGTTCCGTAAGATCACCTTTTAGCTAAATTATAGACTGGCTCATAAAATAAACAGTATCTGCTGTGAGTATTGTGCTTCTTTTTAAAATCATCTATATGAGACTAAATAAGGAGCTCTGGTAGCGTAGTGGTTACGAATCAGGCTGTGAACAGCAAGGTCAGCAGTTCAAAACCATCAGCTGTTCCACGGGAGAAAGATGAGGCTTTCTGCTCCCGTAAAGATTTTAGCCTTGGAAACCCTACACAGGGTCGCTATGAGTCGGAACCAACTCCACGGCACTTAACAACAACAACAACATATGAGACTAAATAGTCAACACTTACTCTAAAGTAAAGACAAGAAACTAAGGGGGTCAGGTAAACTAAAACAATCTAACCCACTGCCATCAGTGGGTTCCGATTCACAGGATGAAGTAGATCCAATAGGAAGGAGTAGAACTGGAAACAAAACAACCAGAACAAAAATAATCACAAAACTGACACACTGTAAAATGTAACCAAAGCTACTGAACAAATTGTGCAGATATTGCTAAATGGAAACATAATTTGCTGTGCAAACTTCTACCAAACACACAGTGAAATGTTATTTTTTAAAAAACTACAGTATGAATTTACCTACAACAAGCAGTATGCTTCTTTGTCTACTGCATTTGAACACGTGTGTGTGAATACTCTATTTCTTTCATTTTCAACAGCAAACGTTTCTAAAGAGACTTTAGCATTCTGTATTCACTCCAATCAATGAGATTCATCTGGTATCTTAAACAGAAAGAACTTTGATACTTTTAAAAAGTAAAAATGCTATTTCCTTTGTTCTACTCCTTAATAGCTCATAATTCCACAGCTCAAAATCTGATAAAAATGTAAAGGAGATGTACAGCAAAACCACAATTGCTGTACTTAAAAGGGATGCTGTAAAACAAATCTCATATTCACATGGGAGTTCTAAAATTTCTTCATTAAATGGAAAACAAGTAATAATTATATTATCATAGCCATTCTTCTGAGAAACTGAAACAGGTGACATTGTGGCTTAGAGAATGGTACATTTAGGCATTTGGTGCCTAAAAGTCTGTTCCCTCACTTAATCCGGTCTCCTTGTTTTCTCAATCTACTCTCTCCTGAAATGGAATTATACATTTATACAGGTACTTACATTACTACTCAATATTATAGTGGGTTTATCCTGCTCTTGGAGTCTGGTATAGTGCTGTGAGTTAATCAGCTAGACTGCAAGATCCGATCCGTTTGAACCTTAAGGTCAACCAGCCACTCCTCGGAAACCCTATACAGGGTTGCTATGAGCCAGAACCTATTTGACAGCATTTAGCAACAACAATCCTGCTCTTTTATATTGAACAATAATGCATAGATTACACTGTATCATCAACCCTATTTGGAACCTTATTCAGGGTCAAATTCTCTTACTTTCCTCAAATAATCCATGGAATCCAGAAAATAAACTGGATTATCCAAAGTATATCCATGTAGAACAAAACTGTAGTCTATGACTGGACTTCTAAGATAGCACTTGCAGTTCAGTCTGTTTACCTGGAACTGCTGCTGCCCCCACAGATGCTTTCACAGTACGGATGAACTTGATAAGGTGTTGGATGGGAGGGTCAGAAGTATGGAAGGCTGTTGAATCCATGTGACATAAGAAAGCAAAGATCAACAGGGAAGTGGTTAATCTTACAGTCCAGAAACAAAGGACCGTAGGACCATCAAGAGAGAAGTGCACAAGCAGAATGCGGGACCTTATCCAGAGAAACAGCAGCGCCAGAGATGGAGGCAGAGATGGGGGCATGGAGATGAGGCGTGGCTGAGGACTCTAGATTCATGTACTAAGAAGAGAGGGATTAAGAGCTGTTGGCCAAGAGGCCAACTTGCAGAACGTGCCTTTGGAGATGTAAATTATTATATATGCCTGAGTGGTTTTTTTGTTTGTTTGTTTGTTAAAAAGCTAGAGTGAATAGAGAGAAATACTGTTAACTGATGGTACATGGAGGGGATTATAATCAATGTAATGAAACAAGGTGTATGATTTGTTGAATGTAAAACTGATGATATGCCCTGTAAACTTTCATTCAATCCACAATAAAAACCTTAAATAAAAAATAAAACAAAGAAAGCAAACATCATCTGAAATTCAGCTTTTTAAAGCTGCTGTCTGTAGTGTTGCCAATATTATATACCAGAACCATTTAGTTCCTGGGATATAATATTGGAAAGCTGAAACGGCAATCTCCCTTACTTTCTTATGTCACATGGATTCAACAAGTGGTCCTGGACTCCTGGTATGGCACTGTAGGATCAGCACTGGACTATGAACCACAAGGTCAGCAGTTCAAACCTACTAGCTGCTCCTCAGAAACCCTATTAGGGTTACTATGAGTCGGAACTAATTAGATGGTTCTTAACAACAAGAGGTCCTAGAAAACAGTGCCAAGTTTACAGGTCAAGAAATCGCAAAAATACCAGGTAGATGAGAGAAAGCA